AGGTAAATGATAAAAATAGAATTTTTGATGCGGAGTGCTACTTGGCATAATTTCAATGTAATTCTTCTTAATTGTGGCATGAATATTCAGATCTGAAAGATTCAAGACAAAAGTTCATATTGACATAAAAATAATAATACTTCAAGCATACTAACTAAGCAATCATGTCTTCTCAAAATAACATGGCCAAAGAAAGTTCATCCCTACAAAATCATATAGTTTACTCATGCTCCATTTTCGTCACACAAGAATGCTCTCATCATGCACAACCCCGATGACAAGCCAAGCAATTGTTTCATACTTTAGTAATCTCAAACTCATAAACTTTCACGCAATACATGAGCACGAGCCATGGATATAGCACAATGGGTGGAATAGAATATAATGAGGGGGGTTATGTGGAGAAGACAAAAAGGAGAAAGTCTCACATCAAAGAGGCTAATCAATGGGCTATGGAGATGCACATCGATTGATGTTAATGCAAGGAGTAGGGATTGCCATGCAACGGATGCACTAGAGCTATAAATGTATGAAAGCTCAACGAAAGAAACTAGTGGGTGTGCATCCAACTTGCTTGCTCACAAAGACCTAGGGCACTTGAGGAGGCCCATTGTTGGAATATACAAGCCAAGTTCTATAATGAAAATTCCCACTAGTATATGAAAGTGACAAAACAAGAGACTCTCTATCATGAAGATTATGGTGCTACTTTGAAGCACAAGTGTGGCAAAGGATACTAGCATTGTCCCTTCTCCCTTTTTTTCTCATTTTTTTGGGCCTTCTCTTTTTTATGGCATTTCTCTTTTTTTGAGGGGGGGCTTCTCTTTTTTTATGGCCTTTCTCTTTTTTTCTTTTTTTTATTCCTCACTTGGGACAATGCTATAGAAAATGATGATCATCACACTTATATTTATGGGATAATTGTATTCATGCCACTAGTTGTGTCCCACTCGGCTGATTTGCCCCTAGTTTTTGAAAATTCTCGGTTTTGCTCAAGTCCGTTTACTCCTCTTATGTTTTTGCCCTTCCGTCATGTTTCCGTCCAGTTAGTGTCGTTTGACCATGTGTTGACCGTCTTTGGACTTTTCTCTGGACCGTTTTGCCCCTGCTTTCTCACTCTCTCACCAGACACTTTCAGGTGGGACCCATCACAGAGAAAACCATCCCAACCACTTTTCTCGTTCAATCTCGTTACCTAGTTCAATCTCGTTACCGGCAAGTCTCTTTACTCGTTCTGTAATACATCATCCCGCAACTAACTCATTAGTTACGTTGCTTGCAAGGCTTCTTATGATGTGTATTACCGAGAGGTCCCAGAGATACCTCTCTGATACTCGGAGTGAAAAGTCATAATCTCGATCTATGCCAACCCAACAAACACCTTCGGAGATACCTATAGAGCATCTTTATAATCACCCAGTTACGTTGTGACGTTTTATAGCACACAAGGCATTCCTCCAATATCCGGGAGTTGCATAATCTCATAGTCGGAGGAATATGTATTTGACATGAAGAAAGCAATAGTAATAAAACTGAACGATCAACATGCTAAGCTAACGGATGGGTCTTGTCCATCACATCATTCTCCTAATGATGTGATCACGTTCATCAAATGGCAACACATATCTATGGTTAGGAAACTTAACCATCTTTGATTAACGAGCTAGTCTTAGTAGAGGCTTACTAGGGACACGATGTTTTGTCTATGTACCCACACATGTATCAAGTTTCCGGTTAATATAATTCTAGCATGAATAATAAACATTTATCATGATATAAGGAAATATAAAATAACAACTTTATTATTGCCTCTAGGGAATATTTCCTTCATGGCTAACCGTTTATGTTGCACTCCCTAATCACAAACGGTTCATCAGAGCGAACTGTATGCCGTATATCGCACACACATTGATATGGCTGCCTGTTTCTGTTGTTCTGCCTCATCGCAAACAGTTCGAATGGGTTAACCGTGTGCCCTTCATCGCACACGCAACTAAAATCTAAACCGTGTTTGATGCATCCTCCATCGCAAATGTTTTGCACCTTTTTGACGGGGTTTTACACCACCGTTTGGGATTATTGCATCGCACACAGTTTCGTCAAAGGGTCTCTGATCGTAGTGTCGTGTTAGCAGCATCCTGTAGTAGTGTCGGGCATGGTGTGGAGGCATTTGACAATGAAGCCTGGAAGAACAGAAGGATGGGGTAGGCTCGGGAAATGTGGGATTACATAGGTCAGACAAGGATCTGAAGAAGAAGAAGAGCAACAACGGTAGAAGAGTCGGCAGCAGCAGAAGTAGAAGAAGAAACAACAACAACATCAGAACAAGAGGATGAGGATGGACTTCCAACTAGTTCGACATCGACGAACTATCCCCTATTGAACCATTTGACTGCTATATTTGTACTAATATTTGCTAGTAGCTAGGATTATCTGTGATTTGTTTCCTAGCAAGGAAAGAAACTATGTTCAAGTCGTGTGTGGTAAGGTCACCACTAGTGATAAGTGGTGATAGCACCTTATGCCATTTGCAACCAAACAACGTGTAATTTGTGCGTCTAGTGCAGCGCAGGCAACCAGACGGCAGGTCAGTATTGCATCCCTCATGTAGCTAGCCTAGATGCACGAAACCAAACTATGTGCAAATGATGGGTTTTGGCTTGTTTTACCCCAGTCGGGCCCATCTGTGACACAAATGCAAAGAGGCAAAAAAAACAGTGCGGGTAACCAAACACGTCATACAAGAGATTTCTATAACCGAGCTCCAAACTGCATTTTTAACGTTCAGAAGTTAAAAAGGGCAATTATGGTTGGCCATGCATATAACTAGCATACACCAAAGCCGGAGACACTACTATAACGTAAGGAGAAAGAAAAACACTTTTTTTAATCAGATGGTTTCTCTCTCCCGTAAGCCACTTCCGACAGGTGTCACGTGCCCCCATAGGGCCCACACACCTCTTTCTCCTTCCTCCTTATCCCCTTCCCTGAGCGGCCAATGCACTTCTTTTTTCCTGCATTGATAGAATCTCGTCGGCGCGCGCTCTTATTTTCTCCTTTTCTCATGCACCCTCTTTCCCCTACTCCTCCCCTTCCTCCCTTCCCGCTCCACCGCCGATGTTGCGAGCTTTGTTGCCCAGCACCGATGCTCCATCATGGTCAGTGTTGCCCAACATCATCGACACCGTCGACCGTTGTTGCGGTCGGTGTTGCCGAGCATCGCTAGCCGTTGTTGCGGTTGGTGTTGCCGAACACGTCGGTGCAGTGCCACAAGTGCTACGGAGCAAGAGAGGTGCAACTAGTGGATCTCATAGTCGGCAGGGGATGCTTCCATGCAACGCACGTGGTGCCACGTCCTCGCAGATCTCAGTTGGTGGCGGAGTTGCATTGCAACACATGGTGTTGTGACCCATAGATCTCGTCGGCGGTGGAAGTTTGCAATGCGAAGGGTATGGTGCAGCGTGCCGGACGGCGAACCTGAAGTGCAACACGCCCATGCGGCTACTTGTTGCATTGACCGATCCATCAGTTTGCGAGGGACAAATCTAGCGGCTCAAGACCCAATTGATTTCTCCACGAAATCAGTCAGTTGATTCCTAACAAAGTGGTCGGGCACAGCAGATGGAATGATATCGGTAATTATGTTTTGTGGAATCACTGAACCAAGCACATGACAGACGTATACGACAATTTTTTACTGATAAAAAAGTAGTCAGTACCCAGCTTATTCTAGTAACTAGGCTTTTAAAAAGAAAATTGGTTCGGCTTTTAGAATATGTTGGATAAGGGGGGGCTTATTTCAAAAGGCAACAAAGAATTGACCCTTAATGTGAGATAAAATTGAAAGACTCGGGTTAATTCTACTGAAATCACACCGTGCCGACATATTTAAGTGTGGGAACAATTTCTAACTGATAAACAAGTACTACTACTCTGTTATCATAGCGTGCCGACATTTAAGTGTGTATATGTATCTTGCATAATAATTCAGCCACGTACAAGGCAATTTGAACCAATTCCGAGGAACAAGGAAACCAAACGCCTGCTCGGTAAAAAGGGCAAACCAGCTACCCAAAATTCCAGATCAACTTTATAACGAAATCATACAGGAAAAAAATCACTAGGCACGGCTCCAACTCCCATGGTTGCACCAGCAGTTCCCAATAAACAACACAACATAACGTATGACAGTGGCCATGGCATCAAACAGGTGACAAGCCATGAATCCATGTAACGTTGGCCTTCCCGAAGTAAAATGAAGCACATTGGACCCCAAAAATCACAACACCGAACCCGCTCCGCTGCTACACACAACCCACCATCAACCGAGCAAAAAGGACGCTAATATACACCTACTGGTTGAAGGTCCGCTGGCATGTAGCAGCTGCGAATAGTCGTCGAATCAACACATGCACAAGGTGGAAGGAAGATGGATGCAGTAAGCAAACAGCAATACAATAACAAATAATGGCGGGTGGGGCTTTCACTTGATCACTTCATTGTTTCCCCTGACGGCATGACCGGCCGCTCCAGCTTGGACGTTCCTCCTTGAGCACCTCAAGCAGTCAAAGGAGGTGATGATGCACGGTGGGCGGACTTCTCGAGTACCTTACACGGGCGAAGATGGTCCTCATAGTAATGTTTAGAAGAGCTCTTCAGAGTTAAATTTGTTCCAGGCCTCCTGTTTAATGCATGTATAGAGGAGGGTTAATAAAAATGTTGGGGGACGACAGGTTATTTCTGCTCTGGTGTATCGCAAAGATTAATAAAAATTTATACTTATTCAATCTTTATGATTTATTCAATCTTGGAATGTAGAGAGGAGGGTTAATAGAAATTTCTCATAGTAAAAATCACAATGATTGAATAAGTATTCTACACAATATTTAGAAACTATATATAGGATTCAGCAACGTGCAGGGTATCGTCTAGTATATGCAGCTTTAATGTACACATCCTGAGCTAAAGAAAGCATCATATACTGGTGTGAAACAGACAAGTTAACACACCTTAAGAAGATCAAAAACCTTCTCGGCGATATATTTCTGCTGTAGATTTGCACCCTTTTGTTGCACCTTATCAGGATGGATGCACAAAGTTGCCTTTCTGTACACCTTTTTAACCGCAGCAGCAGTGATCAGATCTGTTAGGGATACAGGCTGCCATCCACATTCTGGCCAAAGTACCTGTTTAGAAATAATACATGGATTACCACCAGGGAAAACACAGAACTTTTCTGGCTTATCCTAAAGAGTTATTGTTTGAAAGAAGCTCGAACACAGCTATAACAACAGGAGAGAACATAACCACAAACATGTTTCTGGTGGAAGAGATCATCTATATGGCTGTATTTCAACTACAGCTCACAGCAAAGGATTTTAAATGTTTTATATGTGGCCTGAAAGATATTATACTTTGTTGCTGTTTTAACACATATTCTTGGGAAAAAATATAGTTTAACCAGCGAATATGAAATGCAGATCACATTGTTGCTACAAAGATGGTATTGCAGCACATTTACCAAAATGATTATAAGATATGTACTGCAATTGGTATTAGGCTTTCCGGCTAACTGATTGGTGCATGCAACTCAACGGTATCAGAGCCTACGTTTTCTTTGTTCTCTTCCCACCCACCAGAACCCCAGCTGCCTATTATAGACTCCCTCCGTAAAGAAATATAAGAGCGTTTAGATCACTACTTTAGTGATCTAAACACTCTTATATTCCACCCCTCCTTACCCACTCCTTCCCGTGGACCACCCTCTTCTTGGCTACCAGATATGTGCCTCCACTGCTTCCCTCTGTCAATATCTAGGTGCAGAATGCTTCTGCCATATCAAACACTGGCGCCAGTCAGTGACTTGAACCGATGCCTCTGCATCATTGGGCGCTTGTGTCTTCCTCAGTGTACATCCTCTCCGCCCATGTACCGGCACACAATGACCCAACTATTCTAGCCCCCAAGATGGGGGCACGGTCATGCCCTCATCTGCACACCTCTGGGCTCTGACCTCTGCCATCCCATCTCAGGCCACCGCCTCACTGGTCATCTTAGACGCATTCGTGAAATAAGCCCAGTCGACCACAATTCCTCTATTAATCATGCTCCTTTGTCCAGCTTTTGGCACACAAGTTTTATTCCTTTCAGATTCATGATGATATCTCACCACGAGTGTTGGCTGCACAGGAGATGGAAAGTGGAACAGAGACTCGTTCACTGGTGATTCTGATTCCAAACTACTGAACAAATCTATGCTCTGCTTATTGGAAAACCATCTCACAGATGCTATGCTCCTAACAGGGGACAATGACAAGTTTGCTCTTTGTATGTTTATCACATGTTTATCATTAAGCTTCTTAGAATACCTTTGCCCTTGTACAATCTTCCATGCTATTTCTCAGTATGCATGTTTGCCTGTGGAAGCGTGCAAGATTGTCATGGGAATATACTCTAAGAAGCTTAATGATAAAGAAGTGGCCGATATACCTAGAGCACTATTGATGTCCGCAGCAGAGAAGTCCCTAATATGAGATGGTTCCCAGCAACAAGTATGCAGAGGATAGGTTTGCTCAGGAGTTTGGAATCAGGGTCAGCAGTGCACTACTCTCTGTTCCAGCCCATATGCAGCCTCCGCCCATGATGGGATATGAATCCAGAAGGGAGAAAACTTGTGCACCAAGGTGTTGGAAAGTGGAACAAGATTGGCATGAAAATTATTAATGGAGGAAAAATAGTCAACTAGGCTTGTCTGAGTTTTTTACAGAATGAGGAAAGAAGAACCAACCAAGCAATGGTTTGTGGCGGATACCATTGGTGGCCAAATGATGGGATGAGTGGAGTTGGGAATATAGTACATTTAAGCATCAGCAAATAATCAAAACTATACAATGCCATGACTGGTCATCACTTGGTCAATTCAGCGAAAAAATAGTTTAGTGAAACATGCAGTTAAGACTTTGGATTGCAGGAATCTGAATGCTCAAACAAATACCCGAGGAACAAAATTTAGACAAGAGAAACTATCTGTTGACCATAACGTATTACAAAATTACAGGATAAATAACCACATTACGAAATTGAACGACAAAATAATATATTCGAGTAGACTAAAAACACGCATGTAGCTTCTGTTTAAAAGAAGGATAGAACAAAGAGAATGAACAGAGAGTTGACAGAAATAACTAAGAATTGCCTCAAATTTTAGCAGTTCCAAGGACTCACATATTGCATAGTTGATAGCAGTGCCCGCAAATTGCCTTCTTTTCCAGCAGCCCATCGCTTAATCTCGAAGTCTAGACTTTCCGAAATTCTCTGGAATTAACAGACATCACAATTAGAAGTAAGGAACTAGCCATTAGCAGCCAACAACAAGCATCTAATGGGACAATAACACACTTCACTGACAGGCAACCAGGGAACTGCATAGTGTATAAAAATATATGGAGACTGTATTACGTGATGTTTACTAGAGGCCAAAAGAAGAAAAATCAGCTCATGTATCATGAAAGAGTACTTACATCTCTTTCTGCCTGCTCTCTTTGAACATTCATGTCCCGTTCATTCTTCTCAGCCAGGGCTTTTGCCTGCATACGTAGTAAAGTTAAAAATCAGCTACGATTCAAACATTTAGGCATGCATCACAATTCCACTATCATACAGAAAATGTACAATCAACTATTAACAGCAACAATTTTTAGCAGAGAACAATCCTTATTGGAATCTTCTATATCTAAATAGCTAGCCCCCACTAACATATTTCTCTCAACATGCAAGCATGACACCTCATCATTCAACATGCATAAAAAAGGCCCACCTCAACATGCAACTATGCATATTAAAAATCCACTTCACCATGCACCCATGCGTGCATGTAAAATTCCATTCTATTATGCTATTTACATCAAATTCTTATATACTTTCAAAAACTATTATTTCAAATATTGATGTTTCGTGTAACCAAAAACCTCATTGAAATATTGCAAAATATTCCCGCAACAACATGCGGGGCATCATCTAGTTATATCAACATACCGCTCGTTCACGGGTCCGTTGATGCCGCTCCAACCTAGCACGTCTTCTCTCTTCACTCTCTCCTTCAACCGCTTGAAACTCATCAGATGGCGTGGGAGCTAAAAGAACATAAACCAATCAAATGAAGATTTATAACTGGCAAACTCAAAATAGTACTCCTGTTACGGATAATTAGTACCTCCTCCAAATATCGCGGATAGGTCATCCGTAAAATTAGTTGTAGATGATGCCTTCCGCATAGATGATGCTGAAGCAGAGGTGGCTGCCGCTCTACTTTGACTTTGAGCATTAAACGTAGGATCCTGAAATTTCCACAATTAGAAAAACACTAGCAAAATATTGCCATAAAAACAACTATTGCACAAAGATTGTTGTAATCACCACTGTTGGAGCCCTTTGCTTAGGTGCACTGTTTGCTCGGGCACCCATACCAAAAAAGGACTCAAGGTCATCTGGTTTACTCTGTTTTTCTCTTGCCGCTGCTGCCGCTGCAGAAGCAGCGTGCCTCTCTCGAGCCTCAGCAGCTTGCCTTTCCCGAACCTCAGCTGCGGCCTTTTCCACTGCTGCTCGGTCAGCTCTTCTCTTTGCATCTTGTTGAACTCTCTCAACAGCAGCTCTTTCTGCTGTAGCCCTCTCCCTGGTTTGAGCAGCAGCCTTCTCCTTAGCTTCAGCAGCAGCCCTATCAGCTCGGTCTCTAGCATCCACTGCAGCTCTCTCACGAGCTTCCTGCTGAGCTCTTTGCACAGCAGCCCTCTCATTACGTAGGCGTGCTTCCCTCTCTGCTTTTGCACGTGCTTCGATAGCTGCTCTTTCCCGTGCCTCCTTCGTCGCCCTCTCCACAGCTTGCCTACCCCTCCCTCTTTCTCTCTGTTGCTCAAGCTCCCTCGCTTCTTCAAGTCTTCTTTGTTCTCTCTCCTTTTCCTCCCTTTGCCTCATCTCTTTCTCCCTGTCTAGTTTCTCCTGCCTCTCTCTCTCTTCCTGATCCTGTGCATACGACCTTGCTTCATCATCCTGTTCCTGCTGTTCCCTATTTCTAAGCTTTGCATCACGTTCTCTCTCTCGTACTTCCTTAGCATGCTTGAACTTAGCCTCAGCTTTGTCCATGGCTTCCTTCATAGCAGCTGCAGATGCTGCCGCCGATGAATTCCGCTCAGATTCATCCTCATAAAAAGGATTTGCACTGTCATAAGCTGATTTCTGAGGTTTGCCCATGGCAAATTCTTCTAATTCATCCATCGAAGAACTTTTGTTATGGTTGTAGTTTTGGGTGGAGTGCCGCAGATAATCATCATCCCTTCGTTTTGCTCTTGATCCATGCGGTTTTTGCTTAATTGCAAGAGATGGTGGTGGTCTTGAAGGTGGTGGGGCACTCGTTGGCTGTGTGAAGAGGGGAATCTCAGAAACTGTAAGCCATATCTCATCCTCAGACTCATCTGATCTTGGTGAACGGTCATCCATACCATTCCCATTGTATTTCTCGGAACCTGGAGCACCACTATCAACATGAACATCAGAATATCGGGCAGACTGTGACTGTGGAAAAATATTTTCGAAGTCCTCCACAGAAGGTTGTTGGGCTGAGTTTCTTTTCGGAAAATTTTGCACAGGGCTCGAGTCTCGGGCCTTGGTTGATCCATTGCTACCTTTAGAGTCATCACTCAAATTTGTGGTAAACAAAGGTTCTGATTTTGGGACCTGATTGAATGCGCTAGAATCCTCAAATAGACCACTGTCAGCAGCAGTTTTTACTTGAGATTTTGAATGCCTACCCAATTCATCCAAGGGATCCGAGAATATCCCAGAGGATTGACGGGCTGAAGTAGAAGTTGTTTCAAAAGAAACAAAAGGGTCGCTTGCCATGCTAGCTGGCTGAGATGTAGGCACCTTCTTTTCTTTAGCACCAGCAGTTTGCCTGAGATCATAAAAATGAGAACGTTACAAACTGGACCCATTTGTAAGGAAGTAAACATCTATCTAAGTAAAAAAGGTGAAAACAACGAAAATCTTTGATCAATGTAGTTTTTGCCTAAATCACAAGAGGCAACAAGTTCATAACCTCGTCAACTTTGTTGCATAACCCATTTGAAATTGCATTAATAAATTGAGTCAAATCAAATTTCCTATTTTTTCTCTGAAAGCTCAAAAATCAAAGTGAACTCGCACAAAGTACGGATAGGCCTCACAAATTCATGTACCAATGTATCAGAATTCACATTAGTTGGCATTTAATCTGAATGGCAAAACGAGGGGAAAAAGTGGTTGGCGTTTTGCCTACTTGTGGATAACTTGCATCTGTTACGAACAACATGATGCAAAGTGCAAACTGATCAGGGAGCTTTGCAATATAATTAAAAATTACTAAATCGTTCAGCTTTACATACATCAGATTATTTCTAATAATCTATTTCATTAGGCAAACCAAACTCCAAATGATTAATTTTACCAACTTCTATTATAATTTGCTCAATCCAGTCGAAGTTGGCACACCCCTCAAATCATAAGCCGCTGCACTGTGCTCCAATATTTTCCAATATAATCTGCCCCTTACGAATTTAAAGTCATCAATGTCAACTGATTCTACTAAATTAAAAAGAAACTATCATGCATTAGAAGGCACGAAAAATACAATGTACCAAAACATAATCTCAATTTGATCAAACTTGTGTTGCATAGGCGCCTAAGACATGCAGCTAGAACATGTACAGACTGGTCTAAGATCTATCCAAATTACCTACAGCTAACCTAACATAATGCATGTAGGGATGATACAGGCCCAAGTGAATCAGGGCAGCAGAGCACTAAAACAGATCATAAATGCATTCCTGACTGAACCTGTGTAATACCAATGTAAACCTATTACATATTGGCAAGTTATAGATTCTACTCAACGCAACATTCGGTAGATATGCGCATATGACTGCATAATTTGCCCAGCTCAATGACTTACACACGATCCTCCCGTTTCCCACTAGGCGAGTACCGACAAAAGCTTTGGGTTCATCTGTCTCAAGACTACTATAACAAGATACACTCCTATGTTCCATACAGAGATAATGTGCCGTCCTTTATATCGAAATTGCAGATAAAAGCCCATACCTTTGCTTCACCGGGCTGCTCCTGCCAATCCCCGCAAACAAATCATCAAACCCCGCTGAGGCGGCTGCTGGCCCGGGCTTCCACTTATCTTCCGGCACCTCCCTCGCCTCTGACTTGGTTCCGAAACCAGCGAGCAGGTCGTCGTCTGCAGGGGCCGGCGCATGGTTGCCCGCAAAGACGTCGTCGTAGCGCACCGAGGAGCTCTTCACACCAGGGACCCCGTCAAAGATATCGTCATCGTAGACTGGCTTGTCGAACACGGGCATGGACGAGTGCTTCGGCTTGGGCGGCGCGGCGGAGGCAGAGGGCTCCGCAAAGGAGTCGAAGATGGAGTCGATGGAGGTCGACTGCGTGGGCTTGGGCGGCGGCGCGGAGGACGGGGCCCCGAAGAGGTCGTCGTAGGAGGGGGCGGATGGCACGGCGGCGGCGGCGGATCTGGTGCTGTCCCAGCCGGATCCAGAGGACGGCGCGGCGCGGGCGGCCGACATGGGCGCAGCCTTCCCCTTAGGGCGGAGGCCGAAGTCGCGGGCCAGGATGCCCTGGAAGTCGTCCATGGCGGCCGCGATGGCAGGAGGGTCGCTGGATCTGGGGCGCGAGCACCCGGCCCAGGCGCTTCGTGCCCGCTGGGGATTGGCTCCTTGGAACACTAGACGACGAGGGTGTGAACAGAGCGAAGAGGCGCGGTGGTTCTGGGGAGGGGATAAGAGGTCCCAGGCCCGAGATATCTATCGATCGGATGAATGGGGAGGCGTGGC